TTCAACTGAAAGGCGCGCAAAGTATTCAGAAAGAGGTGGGAATAGCGACCGCAGCCGTCGGCAAAATAACTGATCCGCACTTCGCAGAGAAGATATTACAAGAGAATGGGGCGACACTTATATTCATCGGAAGGGCGTTCCTAAACAACCCTCACTGGCCTTATATGGCGGCCGATGTGTTGGCCAACGAGAAGACCTTTAAATACCCGAATCAATACGACTGGTGTATCGGTTGGAAAGGTTTTGACAAATGGAGGAAAGATGTACTAAGTGATCAAAATAACAATTAATTTTAACGAATTATTCAAAAAGTGTTAAATATTTGAATTCATTTTTAATTTAATAAACACTTAAATTACTTAAATCTAAAATGAGAATTTTTTGTTATATTCTTTATTTAAAATTTTTATTTCATGTTTAAATTCAATATATTTATTACAAATTGAGTAATATAATTATTACAAATATAACAAATGATAAATTTTACAATATAAGTTACTGTATAAAAACTACAGGTAAAACAGTAGATTATTGATACATGCCAGATTTGTGCTTATTGTGTGACCACTTTATGATTGAACAAAAGCACACTGAAACTGCACTGGTAATATAACTTAGAGAACTTATTAATTACAGATAAGAATTACTATACTGTACTGTAACCAATATACCGTACTGTATAAACCAATCGACTAACTATTGTGCTATTGTGAGAAAACTATGTGCTTAATCAAAAAGGTGACAAGAGCACTTATGATTTTTAATTTTATGACTAAATTATGACATAGAAGAGATTTTGATAAAAAATTTATATAAAAGGATATAACACTGAAGCATATGATTAAAGTTTACAGTTAAATAAATTAACAAAATATAAGTTATAATTTATTAATAGTAAAATCAAAGCAATGAGTGATTCAAAGAAATCCCTCTTATTCTCGCCGATCACTATACGAGGCGTTACTCTCAAGAACCGGATAGTAGTGTCTCCGATGTGTCAGTACTCTTGTGAAGACGGGATCGTCAATGACTGGCATTTAGTTAATTACGGGTCGTTTGCTACCGGAGGGGCCGGTCTGGTTGTGGTCGAAGCCACCGGTGTGGAGGCCAGGGGTCGGATCAGTCCCGGATGTCCTGGTCTGTGGAAAGACGAACAAATAAATCCTTGGAAAAGAGTTACCTCTTTCTTGAAATCTCAGGGATGTGTGGCCGGCATACAGATAGCACACGCCGGACGTAAGGCGAGTACAGTTGCTCCGTGGGTGGGAAGGGACTCAATTGATGACAAGGAAGGCGGTTGGCCTACAATAGGCGCCAGTGCTATAGAATTTGGTGATAAGGTGTGGAAAGTACCCAAAGAGGCGACAATTGAAGACATCGAAGGAATTAAGCGGTCGTTTGTGTCGGCCTCTGAACGGGCTGTGAGGGCGGGGTTTGAGGTATTTGTTAGAAATGTTTACTCAATT